ATGACAAAATGTATAGTATCAAAATAATCAGACTTGCGGTTTTCAACAAGAAGTGGAAAATATCACCTTTTACCAAAAATTACAAAAATATTCATCAAAATTAGAGAATTAAAGATATCATTACAAAGTGAACAAATCTGAGAGAGGTCCACATGTAGTATATGTAATATCAAAGCAATTGGACTTGCGGTTTTCAACAAGAAGTCGTAAATATCACTTTTTACCAAAAAATACAAAAATATTCATCAAAATTAGAGAATTGAAGATATCATGAAATGAACAAATCTGAATTAGAACCACATATATTACTTATACATGTAATAACAAAGCAATTGGACTTGCGGTTTTCAACAAGAAGTCGAAAATATCACTTTTTACCAAAAATATTCACCAAAATTAGAGAATTAAAGATATCATTACAAAATGAACAAATCTGAGAGAGGTCCACATGTAATACCTATATATGTAATATCAAAGCAATTGGACTTGCCGTTTTTAACAAGAAGTTGAAAATATCACTTTTTACCAAAAACAAAAAAAATATTCACCAAAATTAGAGAATTAAAGATATCATCATGAAATGAACAAATCTAAGAGAGGTCTACCCAAGGTACATATACACCAAGTATCAAAGCATTCAGGCTTGTAGTTTTCAAGAAGAAGTCGAAAAAGTAAAACATTGACACGGACAATCACTCATATGATAAGCTCCGCTCGACTAAGTCGACAGCAAAGCTAAAAACAGGGAACTAAAGATATTGTCACAAACTGAACAAATCTGATTAAGGTACACCCAAAGCTACTTTATACAAAGTTTCAAAGCAATTGAGCCTGTAGTTTTCAAGATAATAGCATTGTTTTTATCAAAAACGCCTAAAAAAAGAAATGACGATACCTAAAAACAAAGTACCGGTACAAAAGTAATTGAGATGGTAGCTTTCAAAGAATAGCTTTGCTCTGTTGAAGGTAACAAAACTAGCTAAATCAGTTTTTCTAGTTTAAATTTGGTGATTAACACTTTCTTAGATATCCACTTTTACTGCAATTTACAAACAATACAACTATTCAGGTTTAATATTTTTATTATTTTCTTGGTCAATATACATTCTTCTAAAAACTGTGTAAGTTGTAAGGAATAATTAAACAAGATATCAGATCCCAACCACTTTCAACTCATTCTTCACTAACTAGAATTAACTTATGAATGATGTTTGCCGTAATTGGAGACAATTAGTATCCAGTATCATCAGAGTGCAAAACTTTTTAAAACTCAGTACAATTAACTGCTTCTTAAAATTTTAAAAAGAAACCTTATCAAAAATACAAATTGTCTTAGTTTATTTACAGTGGCTACCATGTTCATAAAGACTTTGGATTTTGAGGGTAATTTAGGAGACATATGCCAATAGAACTAAAGTACTGAAAAGATTAGTAATAAAATACTCTCATATCATTGGAGGGCACCATGCTGTGACAACAAAATGAAATGTTACCAGTAGTTGTCTTGTCAATTGCATTATGTAAATATTGCTGATTACAATATGAGTATTGGACAAGGCACTACACACTGTTGGCATTTATATACCATATTTGCTGTATTTGAAGAGCTTGACTAAATAATTAGTAATGTTACTATAAATGGGCATTACCTCGCATAAATAATCAGCAATATGACCATAAATGGGCATTACCTAGCATAAATAATCAGCAATATGTCCATAAATGGGCATTAACCCACATAAATGATCAGTAATGTTACCATAAATTATCTTGGTAGTTGGGCATACTTATAAATAAAACCGAACACACACTTTTTGCCTTACTGCATCTCAATGGCAGATAGAATAGACACAAAAATACAACAAATACAGTACTAAGCCAACAGTATGCAACTAATAAAGAGAAAATCAAATACAAATGCTTGATTTTTCACCAACTGAATAGTTCAAAATGTTTCCATGGAAACAAGTTTTGTGATTTCTCCATGGTGATTATTCTGATTTGAAAAACAATCAATAGGACTTCAATGCAAATATTAATGTAATGATTCAAATTCCCCCAAATTTATTATAACCTTCTTTATGGACAATATAATAATTCAGACAAGAAAATGAAAAAGAATTTAAATAGCAACATGTTGGGATAACAAAGCTTCATTGTATATCAGTCAACTTACCAGCAATCAACATCATAATTTTTTTATTTTTTTACAAAACAAAATTACAAATGTATGAAATTAATTATCATTTAGAAATTATAACATTTAAAGTTGGAAATTTTGCACGGAATTATGGGACAGAAACCAGTACATTGGTTCACATTATAACAAAAAAAACAGACAAACAATGAAAGAAAATTACAATTCTGAAAATCGAGGCTGTATGATGAAAGACACAAATAGTTTTTAATCTTTTAATCTCCATAAGATATTGCTGATGCTGTTAAAATTTATGAAAATTATTATTTAAAAACCAAAAGATACACGAGCACAGCCAGATACATTTATGAGAAAGCAATGAAAAGATCAACTACTCACACCTGTGAAGACATGGACGTAAATGCAGGACAAAACAATTTGTATTTACCAACTTTTGTCATTCAGACAATCAACAGTGCTGAAAACACATGTATGACAGACCAGACTGTGAATTATTACGTTGGTAATACCAGCCAAAACATAACTATAGAATGCTAACGTGTGTGAAAAGTGACAAAAACGTCCAAGAACGACACTTTGGAATCAACTGTGTTATAGTCTTGTAGATTTCATCAAGTGGAACGAAATTCACTGAATGTAGTTGTGACCTTATGGTTCTAATGATGTGATGTGAATTGTTGTGGTGACATTATTAGTAACACGGCTAATTACATTGTCATAGCGTTTGAATTTCATGTAGACATAGGGAATCATGAAAGTGCCATGATAACTATGACCTTTTAATTTTTGTAAATACCAACATGCACTTCCAATAAAACAAATATGGTAGTTTTTCATTATGAATGTCTTCCACTGTCAATTTTTCAATAAATTCCCTGACTTACTGAATATTCATGATCGGTTTTGCTTCAGCAAAAATAAATACTAAATTGTCAAACGTGAATACTAAAATTAACTTTCAGAAATTCTTCTACATTTACTAGTAATCTCTGCGGCATTCTTGACAAACTACAGTTACCTTCACCAGTCATGATCAATTTTACAAAATAATAAAAAATTATACGGTTTACTCATAGTGGTGCAGTGTTGTAAAGTCAGCATGTGCATAGTGATGAATTTGACCTTAACTAGATGACAACAAAATAGTTTTGATTTCATACAACATTTCCCAATGATAAAAAAGAGTAAATAAAAAAACTTATTAAACTAATCAATTGTAGGTTTTCAAAAAAGACTTGATTTACAATAGAAAACAATGCTTGACATATTTACAGCTGGCAGTATATATCGTAGTAAATATCTCAAGATAATGTTCACAAAATGGAGTTCTCTGGTTGCTAAGAGACAGCGCATGTGATGGAAAGCAATAAGACTTCTTTTGGAAGCTGGGGGAAATTTTGCATTGGATTAGTTCAAGCCATCGGTACTCAGACATGCTTAGAAAAAAAAGTTATTGTTTATGATAATTAGAAATTATGTGAAAAATAAAATGTGCAATGCTAAAAGAACCCTCTCATGACTCTGGTGTTCTCATAGTTTGCTGGGGGTAAGGCTTCTCAAGTAAACTTACAAAGAGGCTCCCTGGTGACGATCTATTTTTGCGGTAGTGCTTAGGCATAGACCACAACTTGGCATTCCTTGAATGGTAAGAAACATTTTATATTTCTTGTTATGTTTTAATTTAACATTTTTAACCAGGTTAATAAAGCAGTTTCCCATTGTAGCCTTGCAATTACCAAACTGTGAGGGCGCCAGACTTATAACAAGGCTCTATAGCTAAATATATTTAGTTCTATTAGAATTACAGGCAATTACAAAAACAACTTGCTACAAAGGTTAGTATAAATGAATTGTAATTATTTGTACTTCACCAGAAAAAAATCTGATATGGCTGAAAATGACAGAAAACACAAAATCTGCATTTTCACTTTCAGGATTGGCTACAGTGTGATACACAGCAATAAAACAAAAGCATGTTCTTAGGGATGGAGTATTTGAACATTAAATTAAAATATTCCATCAACTGCAAAAGAGACAGTCATTGTATTTTCCTCAGAAGGTTTTATTTGCTGGGTATAATAATTAATGAAGGGAATATTCTGGTTACTGGTTATACTAATTAGTGATGGGAAAGGACACAAAATTATTACAATATTAATATTCATGATTTCATCTTATGGCAATTTCTACTCACGACTGATACTACGTGACTACCATGGCCGTAATCCGTATCAAGACAACACAGGCTGACTTTATATTAATTGACATAAAATTAGATGTAGGTATTCTTTCATTCAATATTACTATGTACAATGCCTTTTTCAAATAATATTAATATATACATGTGTAGCAGCTGTGTCTTCTCTTTAAGTTCTTCAACTGCTTGCATAAAACTTGACTCACTCAATAACTGAAATTTAAAACCCATTCTGGCAACAACCACTATCACAATGAGGTGCTGTCGGGCCCTGCTATACTGTTGGTATTTCGGTTCCGACTAGGACTCTCAGTTTCAGTTCTGTTTGTACTAGCATCTGTAGCTATATTGTTTTCCATAGTGCCATCATTTGCTTCACTAAATGAATTGTCAATATGAATCTCCACCAGTCTGGCATCAGGACTCACAGTATGACGATGTATGTTCTCAGGTGCTGGTGCTGGCGCTGTCTCCAATCTTCTTGGAATGCCAGGGCTTTCATAGCCAGATACCCTTGGCCGTCTTGTAGTTGCAGCCCTTGGAGGAGTTTCATATAAACTTGGATCTGGGAGGGGCTGTAGAAGTAACAGTTTTGAAAGGCAATCAAAAGGCTATTTATAACATTTTACATGCTAGATACAAACAACTGAATATGCAAATCTGTTTATCATGTTGAAAAATGACCTTGTACGTCTGAGAAACAGAAATAAAGAAATTAAAAGAACAATATACACACCTGGTCTTGCCTATACGTAGTATGACGATGCTTTGGCGGAGGAACAGGAACTGCAGGCGATGTGACTGCAGGTGATGCAGACGGAAGATCAGGCAGGTTTGAATAATCTGCATTTTCTTTCAAGGGTAATGGCGGTGGCATGCCTCCACCTATTCCAAAACAAACATACACTTAACCATTTCATACACATAAACCCATGGAATATTTTCCATATTTATATTTTCAACAATATTTTGATTAAGACTTATAGAAAATAATATTAATCTGATCCAAAATTAACATACGAGAAATTATAGAAGATTGCATGAAAATGTGCAAGATTTGGGCATAACTGATTTGGCCTTTCGAGGAATTAACATCATTTACATATATTGTAAAATACTTTATTTTCACTTGGAAATCCAATGAATATACCTTTTTTCCTATATTTTACATTCAACTTGTCAATTATCAGTGAATATAAATTCCATACAAAACACCCAAAACGTCTTTTCAGTGAAAATTAATTCCAGCTAAAATAAAGTATTCTACAGTAATCCAGCTACATTTGTACTAAAACAAGCAGTCTCTCGGCTGAGATAGCTCCGCTGTTAGCAATGCACATTTCAATTAAAGAACAGAAAGTATCATTAAAAAATGAACAATATGTATAGTATCAAAACAATCAGACTTGCGGTTTTCAACAAGATGTGGAAAATATCACTTTTTACCAAAAATTACAAAAATATTCATCAAAATTAGAGAATTGAAGATATCATCATGAAATGAACAAATCTGAGAGAGGTCTACCCAAGGTACATATACACCAAGTATCAAAGCATTCAGGCTTGTAGTTTTCAAGAAGAAGTCGGAAAAGTAAAACATTGACACGGACGACGACGGACAATCACTCATTTGATAAGCTCCGCTCGACAAAGTCGACAGCAGAGCTAAAAACCAACAATCTCTGCATGTCACACAAACTATATAATATTCATTATTAACAGCAATTTAACTCCATGGCATACATGCATGCATACTACAATCTATTGCTATGACTGTTACAAGTGTGTCATGTTTCTTTGACTTACCACTTTCTGTAGCTATAGTTGTAGCTGGTGAAATCTGACTACTATTTCTTTTTTCTAATTGTGCTGGTCTCTGTGGCCTTTGTGGTTTTATCTGTAAAATATGTCAACACATAATTATTGAATCACACATGCCAACAAAGTAAGTTTCAACCACGTATACATTCTTTTCAATTGCCATGCAGTGCTCCAAACTGGGATAATGGCATCCAGTCACAGGTAAGGCATAATAGTGAAGTAAAAAGTGACAAATGTACTAACCGGTTCTTCCAGCACAATGGTTTGCCTCATTGCCTGTTTATCATTGCTGGAGAGAGGACTGTTGGTATTATTCGGCCATGATGGATCCACACAAGGGCTGCTTGCCATGGGTTTGGTTGGTGATATCTTTGGTGTCATTCTTGATGGCGCTCTTTGCGGCACTGGAGGACTGTTAGTGAAAAAGGAAAAGTGCACTCTTTAGAAAAAACATTTCAGGGTCACATAACGACAGTTCAGTTCTGGAATGACTATGAACAGGAATGGTCACGTTAATAAGTTTAAGTCAATATTATAGACACCTTTAATGTGTCACATGCAAATGTTTAGCATAATACACCAAGACGACATGGTGATTAGTATCAAATTTTCCATCAATTATTTTTTTGAGATATCAAGTGAAATTTATATTTATAATTTATAACAATTTCATCAGTGACTTGATTCTAATTTTAGGTCTGCATGTTGGTCTAAAATGTCTCAGCTTTTAAAAATCCTGCTCTAATCCAAAACAAAATATTTGTTTCTGGTTGAAAGTTTCTTTAAAAAAATGATTTTTGTAATATAAAACATCAAGAATACATACATACACTCCTCCTTTTTTCCTTTGTTTCTAATAAAAAACAACAACAAATTGCGAGCACAGTCTTTGGAACTGATATGAACCCAGAAACAGATCTAATTGAGGGGGGGGGGGGGCTTTGAAAATTAATATGTGCCATGTTATTTAATTCTTATGGGCGAATGCTTGAATAAATTGAACCACAGTCTCTTCATCGATCTGATCTCCCTTGCAACACTGTAATTTCAAGGGAACATTGCCAGTGATACTTGATTTGACTACAGCACTTTCTGTCTCAGCAAGCCAGATTGATTGCCTGGCCCTAATACCCAAAAGTCAAGACTAATCAGAGAGCAGCTAGTATATTGACAAGTTTTTAGATATATACATATACTATATATTCTTCAACTCAAGGCAATGCTCCTGGACACAACCATTTTTAAATGGGATTTACAAAATTTGTTCCAAAATGAAGTAAGTGAAAGATTGGATGAAATATAAGTTACATTTTTTTTTTTAGCTGTGGACTTTACACTAAGACCCTTAAAATAGTATTTTTGGTAATATTTCAGCCCTTACATTAAGATAATGTTTGGTAGCAACAAGCAGCCTATCGGCTGAGATAGCTCCGCTGTTAGCAATGCACATTTCAATTAAGAACTGAAGATATCATTAGAAAATGAACAATATGTATAGTATCAAAGCAATCAGACTTGCTGTAGAATTCAAAAATATTGACAAGAATTTGAAAAATATCACTTATCACCAAAAATGACAACAAGCAGCCTGTCGACTGAGATAGCTCCGCTGTTAGTAATGCACATTTCAATTAAAGAACTTAAAATATCATTAGAAAATGAACAAATCTGAGAGAGGTCTACCTCTGGTACCTATATGTATAGATCAAAGAAATCTGACTTGCCGTTTTCAACAAGAAGTCAAAAAAATCACTTTTTACCAAAAATATTCATCAAAATTAGAGAATTGAAGATATCCTCACAAAAATGAACAAATCTGGTCTACCCAAGGTACATATACATGTACATTAAGTATCAAAGCATTAAGGCAATTATTCGGACAATTACTCATATGATAAGCTCTGCTTGACAAAATAAAAAGTAGACGCGGACGCTGACTAACAATCATGGAGCTAAAAATTGTTAGTGTAAACTGATGGAAATACATCACTTACGGAGTGGAAAATTGAGGATCAACATTAATCTGCTGGTAGCTGCCCCCAGATCCCCTTCTATCAGATTCAGTTGAACCAGTTGATATAACAGAAGCTGGTCTGGATCCGGCTCCCATTACTGTAATACGTCGAAGTGCTGTTGTGTTGCTGCTGATCTGGGAATCTCCGCTCCCAGATGACAGAGAATCAGACGCCTGAAAAAAGGACGAGAATACAACAAATGATACCAAATGAATTCAATGTTCATTGATGTTTACTGAGCAATTAACATAGAACAATTCCTCACTCAAAATTGTTCATGCTACTTTATAGATAGATTTGAAACTAATGATATACTGTAATTACTGTTGGTAGAATACAAAATAATGAAAATACTTAATTAGTATGCAAATTAATTAATTAATATTCAGATACATGTGTCAGATTTTCAGTTACACAGATATATTCAATAAATTTGAAATAACTACTCTTATGATATAGAATAAACAAGTCAAAAAGTTAATTAATATGTAAATTAATTAATTAATATGTACAAACTGATATCATCTACACAAGTATGTTAATATCAATGCAAATTACTGCGAAAATATGCAATGAACATACTGAAACACTTTAATTGTTATATGCAAATTACCTAATTAAAACAAATAGATTTGAAACAATTGCCCGTCTTTCAACTACACAAACAGTATGCATGTGCCAAGTTTCAATCATTTGCGCAAACTGTTAGAATAACATTAAAACATGCTGACAGTAGTCTATTAAGCAAATCACCTAATTAATATGCACATATTTCCACCCACATCTAATCAAGCTCATCATAACTGTGTAGAAATTTCATTTCAATTCACTAAGTGGTTCTTGAGATGTTGGTGAAACAAAATTTGACACATCGTAGCACACATGTGATATTAACCTTCTGTTTGTGCTCAATTATTGCATCACATCATATCAATAATTGAGTTTACAAATTTACAGCATGGATAACAATATGATAAAACACAATTGGTTTAGCAACGGTAATATGAGGTTATTACGAGGATACTGCAAAGTATGCACAAAGACAATACAGCAGAATTATCGACCGCATACTGTTCGAGTGCATATTTTGCAGTTATCCTCGTAAT